GTCTGCTTGAAGAAATGCAGAGTTCACTATTATCGCCACCTCTGCTGCTAAGGAACACACTGTGACTTCCTGGTCCCCTCTCTTTGTACTCATTTCCTGAAAGTGGTAGGGTGGAGGTAGGGAGGATACTTATTTAGAGGTGAGGTTTTCTGGTTTGGTCACTTGTTGTTTTTCAGAAATCCCAAACATGAGCTCCCTTCTTCTTCCAGTCCCTTGTCATCCTCTGTCTAATTGTTCCACATATAGCTTTCATATCTGGAGCCCTAAGAGGGCTAGCCATAAAGTACTCTAAGATAATGAGATAATGGAGAGGGTAGCACTGCAGCACTGTAACACTGTTCTCCCGTTGTTCATCGATTTGCTCAAGCAGGAACCAGTAACACCTCCATTGTGAGACTTCATCCTGTTTTTGGCATATCGAATGCACCACAGGGAGCTTGACAGGCTCTGCTGTGCAGGCAGGATACTCTCCGTAGCTTGCCAGGCTCTTCGATAGGGACAGAGGAATCGAACCTGGGTCGGCCACATGCAAGGCAAATGCCCTACCTGCTGTGCTATCACTCTACCCACACTCTAAGATATAGCAAACTAAACTGGCTGAACTCAGTTTATTTCCTAACTTGGATGTGTCCAGGGGATACCCAATTAGAAGATAGTGTCCTAGGAATAGGAATTCTCAGTATATCCCTAAGATCCTCATTTTCCTTTCAGTTTTTTTTCCTCCGTTTTTTTTTGTTTGTTTGTTTTAGGGCCATATCTAGAGGTGCTCAGGCTTTAGTCCTGGCTCTGATTCTGTGCAAGTACCTAAACCCCTGTACTATCTCTCCAGCCCTATAAACCTTGTTTTCAACTCCATTATTAGATATTGACTTCAAGAATGTCACCGTATGCATTAGAGTTTTGATCAAATGGTGATATTAACATTGTCTTGTATCTGAAAACATTCCTTAAATGATCAAAATACTTTGTGGCAGTGAAGAACACTTGAGAATTTGGTCACAGACAGTGCTGCCAAAAATCATCTGAAAGCTCCTAAGACAGGACCCACCAAATCTGAATTCCAGGTTAGATTATTAGCCTATATCCCAACTTGTTTAGGTAAAATCACCTTTCCTAGAGTTACCCACTTAGCAATAACGCAATAGCTCAAAGAAAATTAGGCAAATATAGTTTGGATTACCACAAACATACATTCAAGCTTTGCACCTGTCTGCCTGCTACTCCACCCCACCCCCACTGCACCCCCATCCTGATTCTCACTGAAGCATTCAGTAAAAACTACTTTCCAGAAGCAGCTGGCTGCCCTCTGGGGAGAAAAAGGGAAGGCACAATACCTCCTTTCTTGGCATCATCATATTTATAAAACAATTCTTGTTCCCACCTGTCTCCTTCCAACAGTAGTTTCCCTGGGCATTTTTTTCTCTAAAACAATGTTCAGAAGTTAGAAGCCAGGCTGATGTGTCTGTCACATCCTCCAAATACAGGTATTAAGATTGTATGCACATATAGACATCTATTTTTAAGTAATCTGAGTGCGAATACCCAAATGACTAAGATTCATCTGAAACTACAGGCCAAAGAGTTCATCTTGGCAGAAACCAAAGCCAACAATAATGAGAAGTCTGAATGGTTGACGTCAGCCCTGAAAGTGTTGAAAATAACAGTGAGCACGGAAACACCTGCTCATGTGACAGCCTTGCTGGGATCTGTTTGCCCACAATTCAGTCAGTGCCAAGTGGGTGATTGTTCTCCAAAAACCAGTTCAAGGAAACAAACATGAACTTGGAAAATTCTGAAATTTTGGAATAAATTGGCAACAAGCCTCACTGGTAATAACTGTCTGGATCAAAAATATTATCTACAAAATATTTTTCATTCTTTTCCTTAAAAGAAACTTTCACAAAAGGAATAAAATGGTGTTAGAGTAGGAGAGGATGAGACAGGATAAAATAAATGGCCTGATAAATGAATGAATTGGTGTGGCATGTTATGTGCATATATTTTCTCCTTATTTCATTTTTTGTTATATATATACATATATATACATATATATTAGTAACATACACATAGTACAGAGTTTGTGGTCATTCCATATGCCAAAAACTCCATCTAGTTTTCTCTGATACTCCTCTCTCTTCTGACGGACCCTTAAAGTTCATGCTGTTCATTCAGGCTTAAACCTCAATGTGACTCCATGCTTACTACCTTTTAGAGTCAAGTCTTTTCCCCTTTCTCATTCCTCCTTCCCTTCAGCGTATTGTTACTGATGTTGTCATTGTCATGATCTGGCATTGTACGTAGGGCTGGCTGTGACACTCACACATATTTTAGCTGTGATATTTCCCTGGGGATCACATGTTAAGTTGCAGTGCCTGTTTGCACACTTGGCCATGAAACTCCCAGAGTGTGCTTTCCTATAGTTTTGGTACTTGCCCCCCCTGCTTGCCAGTAGTTGCATTTCCCTACTGTGATACTCGAACATCTTTTTTATTATAGTACTCATGGGGGGTGGGAGGGTCTCATTTCTTCCTTTGATGCTCATACCTACTACTGTATTGTGGCTAGAATCCACTTGCAATGCCAGAGACTGCAGAGAGTATTAGGCAGCAAAACTGGCAGGATCGTGCTTGGAATACATGGCACACTGGGGGATTGAACTCATGACCATATGCTTAGAAGGTGGGTGCTCTTATCTGCTGTCCCATTGCTCTGGGACAGTTTTCAGGATTTTTCAGCTCATATTTAGTTCTTTAAGGCACATCTCCATTCCCTCATTCCTTCTTTCTCCAACTGCTACAAAAACCATTTCCTGATCATTAGTCTCCCCTTCCTCAACCACATGTGGCATTTCTAGATAAAGTTCCTAAAGCTCTCCACTGCTCAGATACAGTGACTGCCCTTGAAGCTCATATGACTGCTCTCTGGAAGGAAGAGTCCAAGTATGTGGGAAGCAGCCCTCCCAGACAGCCCTCTTCCCCTCACAGGCACACACTGAGATAACACAACAGTGTGCTTGCCTCCCAAACCAGCCCTGGAAACTCCCAAATCCATGCGTGAGCCACAATTAGTTTTGCTCTGAAATACATATCCTTTAATGGCATAAACTTGGGTTAGAGAATTTATGTCATTTTAATTTATATGCAGTATAAAATAATTCATATATGAAGTATAAAATTATTCATTTGTTATGCCTACTTAAAAAGGTATGAATGTGTTCTTTATTTTTACCCTTGTACTACCTAAATTTCTCTATATCTGAAAATGAAATAGATAATTTAGAATTACTCATATTTGTTTCATTTAACAGTGATGGTACATTGATTAAAATTTCCATGATTATATTAAACTCAATGTCATAAAATCGATTTGGAATTAAAAAATATATATCAACAACCCAAACAATGGCAAATTTTGCCCTTAGGTTTACTGGGGAAAGTAACAAAGAATCAGCAGCATACATCATCAAAAAATAATCATGTCGCTTCCTCTATGTTATAATTCTAATTCTGAAGTTAGAAAGTCTATGATAAATATGTGATGTGTGATGTGTAATCGATGTAAGATTTAAGGCCAAAAGACCTACTAAAAGCAAATCTGAATGGTTTCTGCAGAAGTCCTTCATCCGAATGCTGATATGTTCTTGGAGTGCTATAGCAAGGTAGACCACTAAAGCCTGAAGAGGTGTTAAGATCATTGTTTCTTTGTAAATGTTTGTAGGGTGGGAGCTGCTGGACGATACCTGGAGGGTCTCAAGGTTTAGAACTGGCTTAGTGCTTAGGGATTGTAGTGCCGGGGATTGAAGTGGGATTGACCCTGTGCCAGGCAAGCACCTTAAGCCCTTTACTATCTTTTTGGCCCCCCATGTGATTTCTTTAAGAAACTGGAAAACTGTAGAATAAAAAATCAAACTTCCAAATAAATTCTGTTGGATATGGATTTTTCCAAATGAGTCTTCACCTCTAGGGTAGCACTGTAGTACTGTCCTCCCGTTGTTAATCGATTTGCTCAAGCGGGCCCAGTAACGTCTCCATCATGAGACTTGTTGTTACTGTGTTTGGCATATCGAATATGTCACAGGTAGCTTGCCAGGCTTTGCTGTGCAGGCAAAATACTTTCGGTAGCTTGCCCGACTCTCCGAGAGGGGTGGAGGAATTGAACTCAGGTCTGCCGTCTCAGCCGCATGCAAGGCAAATGTCCTTAACACATTGCAATAAAATAACAACAAAATGATTGAGCATGTATTCCATGTCAACATATTGTAAATAACTGCATGCCTTCACCCTTAAGTCACAGAAAACTTCCATATGCCAGTTCTTTTCTTATTTTCATTTTATAAAAAAAAAACTAAGAAGTCCAGAGAGGCAAATGTCTTGTTCAAGATCCCACAGCTAATAAGTGGCCAACATATTGCTCAATTAGGTACTTGCCTAACCAAAACAGTTTTAATTCCCAGTTGCATGAGATACATGCCCCTGTCCAGAAACACAGACTGCTCGTTTACTAAAACTTGTCCTCAAAAAAGTACAAAAAGTATGATCAAAGAATAAGTGAAATAATAATAAATTGTGCTATATAAGTTTTTAAAAAATAAGTAAGCGCATTTAATTGGGAGCAAACTTTATTCTCATGGACCAGGTAGAAAACTAAACAAGAAAAAAATCAGTGGTAGAAATAAAAGGGAAACATATTAATAAGTCACAACTATTGTGTCTATAAGAAACATCTTCTAGTTTGATGTGCTTCATAACTTGTGGTTATCTTAATAAAACTTCATATGAGAAAGACTTGTTTTTAAAGTATGGCCTTCACAAAAATGAATGGTAGTTTTAAAACTGACTAATGTATAGATCTTGGAACTCCTTATCCTTTCTCATCCTTACTTGTAGTCACTAATTTCAAAGCCCCCCCAATAATATTTTTAGGATACAGTCAGATACAAATTTATCAGTCGCCCCCCCCCCCCCAAGAAATAAAATTTTTAAACAAAATAGGAATCTTACCTGCTTTCGTCCCCGAGGTAAAGTGGCCACGGTGTCTGCCAGCATTTGAATCCTTCTATTATCATCCATCTGGTTGTCTGTGAGTGTGGAGTGAGAGCTATATTCAGGACCAGCGCAGAAGTCCACCAAATTGCCATTGCTGCTCTGTTGTATGAGCCTTTGTAAAGACATTATGAATAAAGATTACTCCAGCTAGCACATGCTTGAGTGGCCTTGCAGGATGGGGGAAGCTAAAAGTATAGCCCTCTCACAGTAGCAGAGCAGAAAGAACCCATGTGACTTCTGTGGTTTGAGGTGCTTGTTACACAAACCCTATCTTGCAGCTCACTCCCATTTCTCAATGGTTTCTTTTTTTCCGTTTAGCCCTTGGGAGAATCTAAAGCTAGTTTTACCACTGAGAGAGAGAGAGAGAGAGAGAGAGAGAGAGATTTTTCTTTTTTGTCTCCTTCAAATGACCAGAAATCTCATGCTTTGATGTTCTGTGGCAAGCGGTATTCAAAACACCATCTGCCCTTTGTTTTTGTTTTTATTTTTTTCCCTTTAAGGAAAAAATATAAACTTCCTCATGTCTGCCATTTATTTCCCATCAATTCTCTTAATACAGAGGTTGCAGTTGCGCAATGTAAATGTAAGGACTTGTGAACATTCAGTTCTTGTGAATATAAGCAAAATTATAAGTCCGCTCATAATGTTCTCTCACAGGGACCTTGCAGCGTACTTCCCCAAAGTACAATTTTGCTCATTGACGTTCATAAAAAAAGACATTATACCTGCCATTTGAACTGTTACCATTCAGCATTCTTCTCCTTGCCCTTCTACTCCTTGTCCTGACAAAAATTACCTATCATCATTTTTACAAGGAATAAAAGGAAGACAAAACTAGCAAATTTAGGAGACAAAGGTGCCCATATCTTAGAGAGGACTTTGCTGCATCATCCACAAAGTGGCTCCAGAGGAGAAATGAAGAAGGAGGAAAAAATTGCCAGAAACAAGGAAGTATAAGGAGGCTCCCAGCTGGCCTCTGTGTGTGCATGTGGACCCAGGATGCAGTCATAAAATACTCAAGATTACAGATAACTTCCTGGGACCTGGCTTGGCGATGGGTACTTTTAAGAAAATGGGTGTCAGGGGAGAAGCAGAGAAGGTATAGAGGAGTAATTGCTTTTCTTTTCTTTCCTTTTGGTTTTGTTTTGGGGACACACCTGGCTGTGCTCAGGGCTTATTCCTGGCACTGCACTCAGGGATCACTCTTGGAGGGGTTTGGAGGGCCATATGGCATCTGGGAATTGAATTCAGGGTTGAAGGTATGTGGGCTATACAGTCACTCCAGCCCCAGAAACTATATATATATATGTATATATATTCTTTTTGGGTCACACTCAGCGATGCTCAGGGGTTACTCCTGGCTTTGCACTCAGGAATTACTCTTGGCGTGCTGATCCGGGGACCATATGGGATGCTGGGAATCAAACCTGGGTTGACTGCATGCAAGGTAAACGCCCCCTACCACTGGGTTGGCCGCGTGCAAGGCAAATGCGCGACCCACTGCACTATCACTCCAGCCCCCAAAATATATATTTTTAAAGCTAACTTTTATATAGTACAACAAGTCAACTTTTCAGGGCCAGAGAGATGGTATGGGGTAAAGGTGCTTGTCTTGCATACAACTTATCCAGATTTGATCCCCTCAAACACAGAGCTAAGAGTAGCCCCCAAACACCACTGAATGTGGTCCCCAGAAACAAAAACAAAAACAAACCCCACAAAGTCAATTGTCATTTTAAGATAATTTTGAAAATTAATAGTATATTTTTCAAAAGTGTTAAGTGTTTGAACTAAAATGATGAATTCGGCTAAAACAGAACTTCTAAGCAAATTTAAACAGGTAAATCTGAGTTAGCAGTACTTCAGTAGATAGAGTCAATTCAGAAACTTTCAAAACACCAGTATGTATATGTATAATAACAAAATTGGATTATTATGTGGACAAAATTATTCATTAAAAAGGCAGAGAGTTATCTAAGCAGGAATTATAAGCACAGGTGTCTTCAAAGACCAGATGAATTAAACAACTTGCCACAATGTATAAGATGAAGTCAATGGTAGAGACCCTGTGACAAGGAAAGACTGTGTGATTGGTGGTAGAAATGTGAAGTGGTACAGCCTTTATGGAAAATAGTAGGAAAACTTATTTAAAATACAAAAGACAGGATTGGGGAGATAGCTCAAATGGCTGGATTGTGTGCCTTGTATACTCAAAGGTAGCTTCAATCTCCAGTACTGAATGAAAACTTTTTTGTTTACTTTTTTTGGGGGGGTCACACCCAGCAATGTTCAGGGGTTACTTCTGGCTCTGAATTCAGGAATTACTCCTGGCGGTGTTCTGGGAATCATATATGGATGACGGGTATCGAACCCAGGTCAGCCGCATGCAAGGCAAACGCCATACCTGCTGTACTATCACTCTGACCCCGAAAAAATCCTTTAATATTCTATAATGTGTGTGTGTTTATGAGAGAGACAGAGACAGAAACAGAGAGAGACAAAGAGAGACACTGAGAGACACAAAGAGACAGAGACAGAGATGAAGGAACAGAGAGACAGAAAGTGTACATGGTGAGAAGAGAGAGATTTATTGATTATAAAAATATTTCCAGCCACAAGATACATAACCTAAAGCAAACCTACTAAATTAGTAGCCACCAGTACTCCAGAAATTTTATAAAGTTAAGGTATCACTTTTATTATTTGAAAATGTAAATCACAAATTTTTCTGATATCAAATAACAAAGCAAGTTTTATGAATGAATGCTAAAAGTCTATTATTTTCATACGTACTACTGATTTTAACATGGTATAAATCAGTTTTTCTACTACTTATTTTGGCCATGGTTTTATTCCAACCTTGTTTCCTTTCTGCAGCACCCAGTCCTACTAGTTGACCCACTAGTCTTAAGCTATGTCCCACATTAATGCAATTTCACCCATGGCCCCTTTAGAATATCCTGGGGGCCCACAATGGAGTCATATGGTTCCAAGTTGAGAAATGTTTATATAAATTATAGATGTATGCTATTAAATTAAGAAAGTAAAATAGATTACTTTTATTAGTTTATAAAATATATTTGATAAGTAGATTCTTTCCATTGTGAAGTCATGGACAAAAAATCAAAGTGTAAAAGGAAGTTCTGACATTCAGTCAGTACATGTTAGTATATTATGACCTAATCTATTTTGGTTAGTCAGTTCCCTGTCCTCATTATAAGAGATCAAATATTTTACTGGTCGTTAGATATGCTAAACAACATCCCATTCAAAAGCATCCTTTATGAAAAAATATAGAAAAGCAGTAATCTTTCCATGCATATGTAATTTAACACCAAATCCTTAATCACAATGATGTTATAATATTATTTATACATTTCTCTTAGAACATAACTTAGGGCTATTTTATTACTCTCCTGTATTCTTCCCTTAATGTTAGATGATTCTGTAAGATCAAGCTAGCTATCTACCCAGAAGATTTTAGAAGTGCTCTAAGTACTAAGATAAAATAAATTAATATCAAATTCTTATTTAACTTTGTCCTCTGAAATATGTCCCTTTGGAAGTCATTCTTTTGAGAAAATACTAAGGTCATAGTTTACTGCATATTCACTGAGAACAGAAGCCATGTAAATCTTTTCATTTTTACTGTGCTCTATATATGTAGGAATACCACTCAGCTGTAAGAAGAGATGAAGTTATGCAATTTGCTTCTATGTGGGTGAATCTAGAAAGTATCATGCTGAGTGAAGTCAGTCAAAAGGAGGATAGACTGAGAATTATCTAGTTCATAAGTGGAATTTAAAGAAACATAGTTGGGATATCACAAATGAGCAAAGGCAACAAAAACTGGTCTTCAGTAGAGACTTATCCCAGGGGAGGAATAGGGGATTAGAATAATGAGAGATGCAGGAACAATCATGGAGGAAAGTGGACCAAAGATGAAGGTGTGGTGATGAATGTGTTGTGGTTGTGGATGAAGCCCTATCGTTAACAATGTTGTAACCACACTGCCTAAAACAAAGACCTTTTTTAAAAAGTCATACAAATACTGGAAAGGAAACAAAAAAATTTTCAGATTAAAAAAAAAATTCAAAGAAAAAAATTTTAAATTACTTTAAATATACATGAATTGTCCTAGTCGTGGTTAAATGTTCATGCATGCAGTAAGAACAACCCATTCCACCCATTCCACCCCTAATCTAAAGGCTAAAATACACATGAAACTCCTGCTATGATGTGTCACTGTGTGCAAAGCATACTCAAAGCTAATATTCGAATGCTCACTATTACTGCTAGTCACCTCATTTAGTCATCAGGCTACACATAGGAAAGGAATAAGTGCTTTGTTAAAAATAAAAATTTCTCTTTGTCCTTCTGATTTGAGTTAGTTGCCAAATCCTATTTGCTTATTTTGTTTTGGCTATTTGCCTTTAGTTGCTTGAGATGTCTTTTTTTTGTGAACTCCTGAAATACTGTAAGATTTTGTTCGGATTTTTAAAAACTTAAGGTCAACTTAATTTGGTAAGTGTATTTGCATTAGGAAAGCTCCAGAACCATGATAACTTGCTTTGTCTATTTGTCACCTCATCTGAGTGACTGTCCTGGGTGACTGGGGTCTCCAGCTTCTCCAAACTTTCAATGCCCTGCCTGAGAGCAATCTTCTTCAAAAAAAAAAAAAAAAAACTAAGACCTTACAATCAGGATTCACTAAACAGTAACCAACTCTGAAAAAAGTAAATAACAGAACAGAGGTGACTAAGTCCCCTAAAGTCGATATTCTAATATAAATATAAGCCAAATTTTAGCTTAGAGTTGTGATGTATTTAAAGAAACATATAAACACATTAATAAAACCTTTAACTATAGAATATAGCGCTAGCTAATATTCTTTATATATTTTGTTAATAGAAAATTTACAGACTAGTATATAAGACAGACAGCACTAAACTCATATACCTTCATGTGTTTAGGATGACTCAGAAAAGTATGAGTGAATGAAATCTACTGTAAGATAAAAATGCTACAAACAACATTTAATTGCCAACATTAAGAAATATGTTTAAAAAAATGATTCCTTTTTATGGTATTTTAAACTTTGTCAAGAAAATT